ATCTTTATTCTCCATCAATGACATAAATGGCCACGGAATGGAAGGTTTTGTATCCAAAAAATACAAAAAAGCGAGAAAAGTTCTTGATAGGGTTAAAGGTGTAGCTTGAGCCATGCCGACGGTTCGTTTGTTGAACAATTCTTAGCATGACACCATTTCTTTTTCATAAGTCTATCTAGCTAGGCCCAAAACATTTTAAATTATTTGGCCCATACAATTTTTTTCACGCAAGAGGTTATAGGACAGGGTCGGACCAGTTCTAAACAGTTATCAGAACGTACCGGTTCAGTCCAGTTCTAAACAGTTATCTTTAACTGCTTTATTATATTCTTTTTAAAAGACTTTTTCTTTTTTCTTTTTTGTATGGTAAACATCCACACTGTCCTGAAATTCTGTTGAGATATTTTGCACAGTATAACATAGGATTCTTGGTTATAGCTTGCCTACTATCTCTTATCAAAATATTTTCTTCACATTTGTCTGTCAAAAGATTTCTTTTTAAAGTAATGACTAATCCTAAAGAGGATTCAACTTTAACATTAAGCTTTGGGTCAATATGATTTTCTTGTTTGGTTATAGCATTATTAAACATTTCGATTACCTCATGGTTGAAACGTTCAGGAAGTTTTTGAATAAATTTTTCAATTAATTCTCCCCATTTATCATTAGGGCTAATGTAAAAATATTTTGCAAATTCACATACATAATTTTCAAAATAGCACAAAATTTTTCTAGATGATTCAATGCATCTGCTACTTCAATTGTTGTCCTTTCACTTTTAAAAACCTCATAGGTCTGTCCAGTAAATTGTTTGTAAAGTTGTTCAACAATTCGCTTAACAAATTGTGGAATGTTATAATGAGCATTTCCCCATATAACATTTCTTACATTATTGTCGAATCATTCAAGAAAAGATCTAGCATTTCCTCTAGTACTTGCTAAAACATAATTCCATGAATTTGCTTTATTTTTTACAATTTCCTTATTAACAATCATAGTAACCATAATATGGCAATACAATGCATCAATAAGCTTTTCTGGTTCTAATGTACAATCTAAGTCCAAAATAAAAACTTGTTGGGTTCATTTCTTTGGAATGAAATCAGATTGTAATAAATTATGGCTTAAGTCCTCATTGACTGGTGGACTTCTAGGGATATTATCTCCTTGAATTCTTTTCCCATCTCCTTCTGGATTGGAACTTGATGGTTTTGTAAAGTTTGTTGCCTGTTCTGGTTTAGGTTCCCTTATAACAATTCCAGGTTCCCTATTGGTATTAAACCTTTCATGAATTATGACTTCTTCTTCAGAGTCGCTATCATTAAATTTTGCATCAATATTTTCATTTATGAAATCTGAATCAATTGACTTTTCATCTTCAGATTTTACTGTCATGATGGTTTCTTGGTTTCCAATGTTAATTTTCTTAACAATGGTTACAATTTTTTGTAATTCAGAGTCTTCAAATGCAAGAAGTATATTTAGAAGTCCTAAGTCTTGACTTTCTTCATAAATGTTTTCAAGATTTTTTCTGAAACTTGCCATATCAACTTAAAAAGTTAATATCAAAATTTCTTTCAGTTTTCTCCGTATTAGTGGTCGTCGTTGTGGTATCACTACTTCCTCTTTTTTCAAAAATTCCTAAAGACAGTCTGTGGGATTTTCTTAATTGAAGAGGTGTCTTGGGTTTTTACTCATGCAATAATTACTGCAAAGTGCTTTTCCATAGATTTTTCTGTATTTTCTTGGGAAATTTTAAGAAGAATTTTTTATCTCCTCAATACTTTCTTTTAAAATGTCAGCTATTGCCATTACTCTTCTCTGAAAAGAGCTTCTGCCATTTTATTAACCGTTTGTCTTAATTGCTTTAATTGTTTACTCGTACTTGCTTCTGTTTCCTCTCTCCATTTAATATTAGGAAGTGGTTTTCTGGTTAAAGACAAACTTTTTGTAAGAAGTGGTTTTTGTTCTTTTATAAGTGTTCTTTGGTAATTAAAATTTATTTCTAAAGATTTTCTGGATGGTTGTATTAACCATTCAAATTCCGTTTCTTTATGTTCAAGGTAATCTGTGAATAAATGATCAATCTTTATTCCTTTAGGTTCTTTTACAATAGTCATATTATGTTGGTTATGAATTGCATAACTAACAAGATATGATATTGAAAAATGTACATTATTGTCTTTAACTAAATCTGTTCTTCCGTATTTGTGTACAAAAGATAAGATTCCATCAAAGTTTTGGTCATGTATACTAACTGAAAGTCTAGGATAAACTGTATATATCAGTTTTCCACATGCCAAGTTCCCTTCAAGGGATCCTAAGCACCCTTCAGCAGGATTTTGTATCATTTCATCAATCAAACTCATAGATATGGGTTGATCAATTTTTTCTGATAAGGTGCTTCGAAGTTGAATTCGAATAGCTCCTATAGTTACCTAATAAAGGTTCTTGTTATTATCAAGATCTACCTTTTGTTTGACTTTATTTATATCTTGTTTAGTAAGCAAGGAAATTCATATCTTACCATATGTATGCTGTACATGTATGACAAACTATTTCTGAGGTACACCATAATATACATGTCTATTTCTGTTTACAAATCTATTTATAAAATCAGGTTGATCAAAGATCTATCTATGTTCTATAGTAAGTTTTGTTTTACGGATTTTTGCTAATTTCTTATCTGATATTAGAATTTCTTTGGAGTAGTTTCCTTGTGATTCAATCTGCTCACAGATCTCATCATTTTCTTGATTTTCATTATTATGGGGGTTCAAGCTCCATAATTAATGATGGTTATAAACATAATGTAAAATGAAGTCTTTAATAGCTTTATTATATTCTTTTAAAGCCTTTTCTTTTCTCTGTCTTTTGGCTTCACTTGCTAGTCTATGAACTCTAGCAAATGCAGAATAATGATAATCTTCTTCGTAGAATCTAAACATTTCATATTCAGATACTAGTACTATAATTATGTGATGGCAATTTTCACAATCAATTTCTATATTACTCATGATTTTGAGTATTCTAAAAATTCTTTAATATATTCAACAATTAACCTGTTATTTATAATTCTTATGTAAAACCTTAAAGTCTCTTTAAAGGTCATATCTTTATATTCTTTAAATCTTCTGTTTCTGAGTGGTCTTCTCATTGTATTCAATAAGTATGGCTATGATACCAATTTTCGGGGCTGAGTGGCGGAATGTAAACTATTAACAATGTATGAAAATGTAGACAATAGATGCCAACTGGAACACATGTAAAATAAATTATTAAAAGACTTTTAAGAAAATAAACCTTCTCACTGTATGTTGAGATTGAGTTCATCTTCTTACGGTTCTGTTTGATATGCTGTCCTTTACTTACTATTTTGGATCGTCTGGACTTGTTTCCTTAAAGGACTCCTGCCAAGCTGTACTCCTTTGTCCTTGATCCTTATAGATCCGTACATGGAATTTGCAATTCAGAGTAGAACTATGAAAACATGATGAAATTTTATTCAAAGAATGTTTAAGAGCAAAAGGTTATAGGACCGAGTCACATCAGTTCTAAACAGTTATCAGAATGTACCGGTTGACTTCAGTGGACTAAGGACCAACGAAAAAATGCTCCCCTTCTAATCAAATCACCACTTAGAGCTGTCAAAGTTTCGATTCTAAAGTGAACCAAATCATTTTAAAAGGAATTGATTTATGTTTCGATGGTTAAAAACTACTTGAAATCAATAAATCGTCATCTTATTTTTTTTAAAAAAAGATACTTAATTTACAAAAAATTATATTATTTATTTATACTTCAAAATTTTATTTACTGGTCAACTTCTATTTTTATTATGAAACAATGATTTATGGTATTATTTTTCTTATTTATTTCAAAAATAATGAATTTGCAAGTTTAAATTTTATGTTGAACTTCATATTAATTTATGAAAAATACTCTTTATCACCATCATGATAATGTGGTATATGATATGCTATTAAATGATAAAGTCAATTAAATCTATGAATATTCGAATAACTTTATTGATCTTATCATTTAGCCCTTACTTGATTCCCCTTTTTTTCGTAATACATTATTTTTCTCTTTTTTTCAACCACACATTTTTAAAAAAATAATATTACACATAAATTCAATTTTTATTTTTATTTTTTAACCGTACATTCTCTATCAATATGCTATTGCAAAATATATTTTATACAAAAAATGGGGCTCAAACAAGCATTTAATGTGATATTATATAATTATTGGGATTTAATATTAGAATAACTTTATTGGTCACATTATTATATAATTATGAGTAATGCTATTTAGCTCTGGTTACAACTCCAGTTTAAATGGCGTTAATGTGTCATTAAATGATATGTGGAATTAAAAAAGTTATTCAATTTCACATTTCATTCAACATATCATTTAATGACACATAAACTGGGGGTTGTAATCTCAGTGAGACTGCATAACATTACTCTATAATCATTGATAGTAACAAAGATAAATAACATTACTACTAATTTATTAGTTTATGTTTGCATTGACACAAATGTATTAGTACTTCAATGTTTATGTTCAAAATGTTTTAATTCAAGTGTTATATTAGTTTTTCATACTAATTTATTTACTTTTACATTTGTTTGGAAGATGTTCGTGAAAATCGTAGTTTGAAATCAAATCGAACAGAAAAAATGGTTTGATTTGAAAAAGGAAATATTTGGATTATTTTAGTTTGAAAATAGTTCAAAAATTGCTCAAATCAAATCGTGTTCATACTTATGTGAATATTTATTGAAGTCAAGGGAGTAATGTGTTACATGAAGTACATTTAGGGGCTAATTAATTAGATTTTCTCATTTTTCATCCTTACAATGCAAATACAAGCAGTTTCAAATGTCATCTACTTCCACGTGTCGACTCCTGAATGGGTATCCAACATCCACTAATTTAATTACAAAGAATTCTCTCCCCCTATCTCAATTCTATCGATATCTTCAATATTGGGCATGAGTACCATCGCTGTATGCATTCCCAGTTCTCGAATTAGGGGACGTTTGGATTCGCCGAAAAAGCTTATTTCTGATTTCAGCTTCTGCTCAAATTCACCTGCTTTTATCTCATTTTCCAGAAGATTCTTCAGTTTCAGTACGTCATTTTCAGTGGTCAATCGTCCGTTGCTCAAAATCAACGCTTCATCTACCGTAGGTATTTGTCTCTATCACTCACGCACATGTACGGGATTGTGTTTGATCTTTTTGATTCAGTAATTTTCAAATTCATTTGAATTAACGGGAATTCGTTGTTAATTGCTGGAGTATTTTTTCTTTCTTTCTTTTTTCACGTATAGAGACTAGAGTATGATTGTGCAATACTGTCTGTACCCGCTTTTGGTGGAGATTGAATTCCTGAAGCTGGAATGATTTTAAATACTTATTGTTTCACGCACAGAGTATGAAAATGTATTGTTCTCTGTGCATCATCGTTTGTAATTAGCTGTTGGTTGAATTACTGGATTCGTTTTCCTCATATTTGTGTACGTGGGTGTTGATTGCCATGTTTTAGCTATGCTTAAAAATAATTAAAAGTTACTCTTAATTTCCACACTTTGGATACATTGTTTTTTCTTAGTTTAGTTATTTTGAAAGAATTATGGTACAATCAAGTAACTTTCATATTCTAGAGTTCAATCAATAAAAAAAAAAAGTTTAGAACTTATATATTTATTGATAAGTAAACTTTTAAGCTTAGCCAAACATGATCTAGGGTTTGAGCGCAATGCCTTATATGTGTGAGCACCAAATAATTTGGGAAAAAACACAAATGTCTGGAAAAGAAATATGGATGTGTTTGACACCCATTTTGGAGAAAAAATAAATTTTAGAATAGTGATTGATAGAAGAATGTGTGGTTAAAATGTAATCAGAATTTTTGGGTTTATGTGTAATATAATTTTATTGATAGAATGTGTGATTAAAATGAAGAAAGAGAATGAGAAGAAAATGGGTGTCAAACATGGGCTATATATGTTTCCAAGAGCATGCACGTGGGAGCTACAATCGTACAATTTTATACAATTTTGTCGGTTAGTTAAGGACAAGATTTAAATGAACAATCATGGCCCTTTATAATAGTTTAATCTTTTGGATGAGATGATAAATCGTGTTTAAAATGCAAATAATTTGGGATACAAAATCATCCATGTCTACAAATTATGTTTTGCAAATTATAAATCATCTAATCTGTAGACATATAATTTGTGTATATGAAAGTTTTGTTGATGTATTCTCTCAACCGATATGGATTTATATTACCATCTATGTAAAAGAAATATGATATCCAGCTTGTGATTGTGAATAGAATTCATTCAAACTATATCTGTGATTTACGATTTCATCTTTCATATGTTGCAGGTGCACCGAACGGAGAATTGGAAGCTTCAATTGCAGGAATGGTTGGAGCTAATGACTTGCTGATTGTTGGACCAGGTGTTCTAGGGCGCATTGTGGCTGAGAAATGGCGAGAGGTTTTGAGTTTATTATAGAATTAATTAACGTTTTCTTTCTGTGTCTATCAATATGATAATGTATGGCTTGATGCATTCAGTGAATGTGTAGTTGTCACATGGTAAATCATTTAGCAAATAAATTCTTAGTGATGCTTACGCTGTCTACTTTGATAGGTGAAGTTTGTATTTTTCAAGTTTTCCTGGAAGCAACAATGATATTAAATTTTCTTGTAATTATATTTTGGCGTTGAAAGATCACTAGGAAATCTCGTTGTGCTTCTCACTGTCAATGGGCTGTTGCATCTCCAATGTGAACAAGTCAAAAAGGAAATGTATATGTCAAAGGGAATGCTGAACAGTGTGAAATCTTTCTATGTTGGCAGGAACATCCAGGCTGTCAAATTTATGGGCAGACAATGACAAGTGATCATCATGATGAATTAATCAAAATGGGGATCACTCCAACTACAAAGGGAACCCCAGTCAGTAACAAGTTTCCTTATGTGATTTTCTGTGCTCCTCCATCCCGAACTCCAGATTACCCTGGTGATGTCAGGTATGTGTAAAGAGTCTATGCTTTACACAACCTGTTTCAAGTTTTATTTGTAGTATATACCATTTGATACGTGGTATCGTGATCCCCCAGCTGGCATCCCATGTTTTAGTTTTGGACTTGTTAATTATATATCACATCTAAAGATGTACTTTTAGAAGTATATTACAGCTTTGATAGTTCTCATCTAGCCCAATTCATTTATTTCGTTTGAAGTATTAGTATTAGTTCTCCGCCAAGTTGATTGAATTTTTTTATGGAATATCATAGATGGCCTGAAAGATAGAGAGAGAACTGCATTACTTTAAGCCTGTTCAGTTTCGTTCATCTCTAAATGACTAGAAGGTGGGGAAGTCGTGAAAACTGGTATTTATGACCATAATTCGGGTAAAAATGCACAACATAATTCTCTGGGAAAGTCATCTGCTGGCAAGAAATTGAGGTTTATTGCGCCTGTCATATGAATGATTTTCATTTTTCCTTAACCTGTCTAAAGAAACACAGACAAGTTCATTTATTCTACAAATTGATGCGTTTTCCCAATTAAGATGGCATTATAGTTGAAGCCAAATGCCAATTTTATTGGTTCGTTTTGTCACAAACAGGGAAGCAACATTAAATTGGAATGGTGAAGGCTCTTTCCTATTTACTTCAAGCTCTGCTCCCTATGACTGCAGTGATAATGGATCTTGTGATGAGGTATTGCATTTAACATATTTCACTTTTTAATTGCAAGCTAAGAGCATTTACAAGACTCTTTAGTTTAAAGTAGCATCTTTAAATTTAAAGAGTAAATTTTTTATACTCTCCAACAAACTTTTTATTTTTGCTCTTTATTTTACTTTTTTCGGCAATCATTTATCATTTTCCCCTCATTTTTCAATTAACACATATATTTAGATGTCATAGCTAAAATATTCATTATAATATATTATTTGAGTAGTGCAACATTGAAACTTGCAATTTTGTAGCCTGTTTGGTACCGATTAAAATCCAATTAAAATTGAAAATATAACCGTTATTGTGCCATATTCGTCTAATAAAAGTCAACAATAACGGCTAGTTTTTCAATTTTAATCCAATTTTAATCTCTACCAAACGGGCTATTGTTAAATGCAATCAATACAAATGAAAATTGGGAGTGAGTTTGGTTCTCCAAATGTAGAGACCCAACCACCCACTCTCTATTTTTAACGTTAAAGTAAAGAGTCTATTGAAACCTAAGTTTAAAGGTTTGGCTCTTTAAAATAAAGAGCATCTTCTTATACTCTTCTATCTTTAAAAATTATCCCATAGATGCTACTGAGATTTAATTTGTTCCTCATGGTCACACAGGAAACTCCAGTAGTTCCAATTGGGAGGAGCCACAGAACGGATGTTCTTCTCAAGGCAGAGAAAGTAGTGCTGGAGGCTGGTGGTTGTGTTATCAGACTGGCCGGACTCTACATATCCTTTATAGATCTTGAGTAATGAATGATCTGTAACGAATTCCTTTAGGTTCAAGATACGAATTTGAACTATAGACACGATCACCTTAACTAGCAGTACAAAGAAGATAGAGGTGCGCATACATACTGGTTAGAGAAAGGGATTTGCGACGTTCGTCCGGATCATATCCTTAATCTGATACACTATGAGGTGAAGTCTTGTACTCTTAGTCTTACGTTCATTAACCCTCTCCATATTCGTTTTTCTGAATAAATTAATTGATTATGATAATGTGCTTCATATATGTAGTCCATGATGAATTGAAATAATGGCTTGTGTACTTATACAGGATGCAGCTTCACTTTCAATTGCAGTCTTGAAGAAGAAACTCCGTGGACGGATCTTTCTCGGCTGTGATAATCACCCTTTATCGAGGTCATTTTGTTTACCAAATACATTTGCACTTAGTAGCAGAAGAGCTTACTCATATAAGGAGCCTAGATGCAATTATTATTCTACCTTCTTATATTCTTTCAGGCAGGAAGTGATGGAATTGGTTGATAAGAGTGGAAAATATGGCAAGAAGTTTGGAGCTTTTACCGGTAGGTATTTTACAATTATTTCTAATACAATTAATCTTCTCCTTTATATAGTGAAAACATAATGATGCAACGATTGTTGTTTCTTCAGGAACAAAGGATCCTTTAGGTAAGAAATTAAGCAACTCGAAAACTCGTGCAGAATTAGGCTGGGAACCGAAATATCCAAGCTTTGCTCATTTCCTTGGAGTCCCCCAATAAATTTTGCAATTAACCCATATTGTCTGAGAAAAACAATGAAGTACCTCATTTGCATTCCTTGAATGTGTCTACATTCTAACTGGGGTGATTATGATACCTTGTTAACGTTAAAGTCGTGTATTGGTTCTTGATTTGTCCATTCTTTGATGTATTTGATCCTCTTTATATATTTATCTCAAATCTTATTCGATAGCCTTTCAAAATACTGTTAAGTACTATCAAATTCTCCCGATCAAACATGCCGTCAGTGTACCGAAATATTATCAATTAGGGGTGTGTAGAGCTGATGTGCTGAAACTGAAGGATTTAAGTATTTTGGAATTGAAATCTGTTTATCATCATTAATGAATGTCTATATTCTGTAGTTTGGTTTGTTTACATTTGCTTTACCTATTTGCGCAGAGATATAAATGACATAATTTGTATGCGGATGAATCGTACCTGACAAAATTTTTTTTGTTAGATTGGGCGAAAGAGTAATGCTATTTATAGAAATGCACAACTTGGCACTGCCAAGGTAGGATCAAACAAGAGTCGTCCGGTTGAAATTACATATTACATCTCTATAACTACCGAACAGAGGATGGTCAGTGGAAATTTTGCGGTCAAATGCATAACATGGCTTATCTACATAGTAACTTCAACCATTTGACATGTTAAGTCAACTTTGATA